AGGCTCAGCAGCACTTTCACATTTAGTTCCAGATATTAGGACGTTCAACTCTGTTGGCCTTGTGTTGTCACAAGCTCCCTGTCAAGTTCCCAGCTTTTCTCTATCCCCTCTTTCCCACTGATATATTTTCTCAGAATTTGTGGAGATGTAAACAAGAGAATAGATGCTGTTGCAGAGAAAAAACAAGAAGATAGTTCCCAAAGCCCTTTGCATTTCCCTAGGACACCTTTAAGCACTTTGGCCAACTCACACCATGTGCACAGAGATCTTTTCAAGATCACAGCACCTCTAAAATACCAGTGCTTCTGCCATGCCAATACCAGCCACTTGAATTCTTGGCTACATCACTGAGGAAAAGCTTGAACTAGTGACTTCTCTGTCACATGCAATAGAGGCCAAACATGCCTTCATAACATCCAAAACATTGTCATCAAACTCTGGAGACTGTTATGTTCTGTGGGTTTTGGCCTTGGCCTGGGAAATTTATGACCTAGGCTCAGCTTTATGTTCTGCCAAATTCAGTGTGAAAACTCCTCAGAATAGAGCATACCCAGCAGGCTACACAGAGTATCAAAACAACTGCTTTAATACTATTTTGTTTCTGCAGATCTTTGAAAGGCTTTTTATGTGTTCAAAGCATGGTAACAAGTTTCAAAAAATGAAAAAAAAAAATTCTATCTTTCCATCAATTCTAATTACGTGGCCTTTCTCAAAACAGGTTCTTTCCTTCTCAGAAGGCTAAAGACATGGAAACTAATTTTCCCACATAGCTAATTCTATTGCTGAAAGACTCAGATTCACTTTCAGTAATTTCCACTTGATTCTACATATTCCCTGCTGAATAAATAAGCAAAGGAGGTATCTTCCATGTTAAAAGCTTTCCTATATCTCCTTATTTACAGGGATATGGAATTAGTGTAACATCTGCTTTTCCCAGAAATAAATACCCGAGCCAGGAGATTTGCAAGTTGCCTTGTTTTTACTCATATTTATAGGAAAAATCTCTTAAAACTAATTTTGTGAGTGCAAATTTCACTGTTAAGTGCAGATGAGAGCACATTATGAGGTTTCCCAGTGTATTTTGCTCTCCTTACCTGATTCCCGTGGGTCTTTTGAATCCATGTATTGCGTTCATAACTTCTACAGATCCTTCCTTTGAAAGTTTACTTAGGGTTTCCTTTTTCTTTTAGTATGCTAAAGTTGTTTGGTTTGGGTTTTTTTAATTACTTTTATGCCAATGTGTACTATGAGTGTACAAAAAGCTCTGACAACTTCTTTCTTTGCAATTTTATTCTGAGGTGGTTGTTCCCAAAGCTATCCTGAAATTTCTCCCTCAAGACAAAACAAAATTTTCTCGTTAGATATAAAAGAGTACTTTTTCATATCCAAAATTAAATATACCCAGGAAAAATACTGTCTCATATTCAGAATACTGCATTTTATCATCTTAAAAGAAAGGTATCCAGTCTCTCTTCTACCTCATATTGTAGAAAAATAAGCTGTAGGACTTAGTCATGGTGATGCCTTGAGAGGCTCCCTAGAACAGAGGCTAGACAGTGTTAAAGGAATAAAGTAGGAATTCATTAAAAAAGCCTTCAAAGGGTATACCTTGGACAATACAAGAGCCTGGCCAAGGCTACACCCAAGAGGGACAACAGATCACATATTTTTACGCTTTTATAAGTGTTGGTCCATTTACATATTAGTTAATTGTCCAATTATAGCTTCAGGTTCAAAGTGATGGCCAGTATTCAGCTACAAATGGTTTCAAACTGATCTTAGCCACTGCAGATTAAAACTCCCTCATCACTTGCCGTGAACAATTGGTTAATTGTCCAATTATAGCTTCAGGTTATGAAGTCCCATCCTCCCAGTTTGCTCTCCTCAGTTCCCTGCTGTTTATACCTTTTGGGCCTGAAGCTGTAATGGTATCCTTGGTTCTTGGGCTGGAAAAGGATTATTTTGTCCCACCAAACTGTGAAGAGAACTTGCTAACACTCCATATGAAGTTCAGAATTATATACTAATGCAATACAGAATCTGGAAAATATGAAAGCTAAAACTTAAGGCATCAATGGAGCTGGGTTCCATAGAATCATAGAATAGCACGTTGAAGGGGACCTGCATGTTGCCTGTAACCCTTTATTCTATTCCATGCTTTCTCAAACACTTCCTCAAGACCTGAAGGTTAGGTGGGAGGAGGTAGGAAAATAAAACTGAGCCTTGCACTCAGAAGGACATCAGATCTAACATTCTTTTTTTGAGGATCAACCTGCCAGGCAAGAGACCAACCAGCAAGACAGCCTGGCTCTGGGCCTCTTGTGGGGTGGGCACACTTAGTATGGCAATGGAGCAGTATCTTACATCTACCTTCTGTAATAGAAATTGTTTCCCACTTTCATAAGTGAGGTATGTTTCCCCTTATTTCCAACTAACTAAAGCTGGGGGGTAGTAGAAGGGAAGGTGTACCTTTTAAAGGGAAAAATGGTCCCCATTTTCTAGAAGAAGCACAAGAAAATCATTGTCTTCTATTTCTTAAACATCTGTTCACACATCATTTTTTAAAAAGCAATGGTATATCTACAGCAGAAAAATGCAAGCAAAATCTTTAGCAAATTCTAAAGCTGTTATGGTTAAGCTGCAGACATACATATCTCAATCACACTATCTTTTAGTGAAACGGGTTAAGCTTTCCTTCACTGTATGAACAGATAAAGAGTACTGTGCTTTTCCTTTGTTATAAATCTTGCCTAAAACTTTAAAATAACACATTGAAATAAGTTATATCTATTCTTGAATTGTTAAAAAAAAACTGTGTAAAAGAAACTGTCCTCCATGGGCCTGTAAGTTTAGTGGTGACATGACTCTTTTATATGGCCTATTCAAGATAGATGATAAAGTAGGTCTTTTTCTGCACTGGAGATACTTGAAAAACATAATTTTAAAATAACTACAAGCTTTAACCTTTGAGGAAATTTCTTTCTAACATTGTATTTTTTCAAGAATGTAGCCTTTTAATACAACTATTGCAGACCAAAGTGTTAAGGAAAGCTGTTGAACCTCAATGTCTTTTCTCCCCCGCACTTTGAAAACAGAACATTTCTAAATGAGTGACCATTGCCAACCTGAGCCAGAGGGCAGCATTCACCACCTTATGGCATACTGCAACTTCTGATGAATCTCAGCTACTTTTTAACTCATCTTTCTCTGTACAGTACCAATCAATGCATTTAAAAATGGCTTGCCTCATATGGCCTATTGCAAAATTGTTAAATGAATAAATGACATTGCCATTAGTGTTCAGTTATAAATACATTTGAATTTTAAACTGAACATATGCTTCTTCTTTGCTTGAAACTACCAGCTTTTTCTTCTAAAAACTGTGCCACAGACCCAGGCATGCCATAGTAATAAAATTTAGGATTGAGGATGTCAAAGCTCTTTAAAGATGATATCACTATCTAAATTTGATTCATTAGATACTAAAGAAGTTTCTTACTTGAGGCTGCACAGTGATCAAAACTAATACAAGAACAGAGCTCCTCTGTCTTAGCTGTGATCTTGATTTAGTTCCTCCTTTACTACTCTGGGTATCAATTTCAAAATAAGCTTTTATTTATGGGTTTGGTGTTTTGTTGCGAAGCTGTTGTTAATTTTGTTTCCTTTGATAATATTAAATGACTTCTATCTCAGCTTAAAACTGAATTTCTACAGCCAATTCAGGCTGGAGAATTCCTTGAATACTTACTCCAGTTTCACACTCTTCTCCCCCATAACCATTACATAATCATTTCTCCCAATAAAATATTTTAGATCAGATCAGAAATGTATGAAAGACTAGAAGATATTTATTGGCTTCAAGACACATGCAAATCACTTATTTGAGGGAGAGCAAGTGATAAGATAAACAAGTTAAAAAAAGAAAAAAGTAATGAAACACTTGTCTGCTTCATTTGGCAAAGAATAAGTCTGGTGTTTTTATTGAATATCAGGAATGAGCAGAGGCGAAAGCAAGAGAGGGAGGTAGATGCAAAGATTATGTAGGGATGGGGACACTTTGCTCTCAGTTCAGTTTGTGGAAATATATGCTTAGCCATAATGCCAAGTCATGAAGTTACTTTGCTAAACCTGGTGGGAACTTGCTTGCATTACCTGAAGTCTAACATTCTCTGTGTTGATTTCCAAAGAATGTCTCCAGGTTTGAATGAGGATAGCTGAAAGTAAAGCTTGGCCAGAATTTCCCAGATGATGATGAGAGGGTTTAAACTGTGGTTTGTTTCACAGCAAGTGATGAGGGAGTTTTAATCTGCAGTAGCTAAGATCAGTTTGAAACCATTTGCAGCTGAGTAGTGGCCATCACTTTGAAATTTAAGAGAAACCAAACATATTTCAGGAGATTTATTTCAATCACAGATAAAAGACAATGGGGTCCCATGGCAAGCTGGGAGTCTGCTCCTTTTAAAGGAGCACATGCCACTTCAAGGGAAAAAAAGCATGAAAGGAAGCAGTGGTGTGCAAATCAAAATAACCCCTTTGTCTTTCTCTCTGGATCCATGCTTGGAGAAGAATGGAGTGTAGGGGAAGAATTCAGACCTGTCTTTGTTCAGTCTCCAAAGGCAACTACTTTCTCTCTGGATGAGAAAGAAATTTAGTTTTAATGGTGGTGGAAGCCTTCCTTTATTTTAATGATCAATACAGGCAGTTGGAAAAATGCTGTCTTCAAATAACTAATCATTAAAGATTAGAAATTAATTGGTTTGAGTTTGGTGTTTTGGTTGGGATTTTTTTTTTGTTACCACCCTTCCACTGCAACATAAGATTCATCAGTTTTTCACCTGCTGTCTGCCACCAAACTGAGCTTCTGGATTCATTCTGTCCTTTGCTTTTTTGCTGGATAAATATGGATTCATTTCTGGTGAGGGGTGTGATTAAATGTATCATGTTTTACTTTTTTAATGCTTTAATCTTAAATCCACAAATATTTTGTGCTCTTTTTGCAGATGACAGTACTCCAGTGACACCACCTCACCTGAAGCTGGGCAGAATGAAATCTAATCTTGGGTAAGAGACCTATTTGATTGGAGGTGCTACTGTGACAAGCATAATTTGATGGCTTCTTCCTTGCTGTTTTCTTTCATCCTTTCCTTAAAGCATTGCTGATGAAGTTGAGTTGAAGGTAGGCCCCTCTAAATTTTTCATGTGCAGTTATCCCCTGAATTAATGTTATCTTTGGCAATTTTCACCATTTATTCAATGCAATGCTGCCTGTCTGCCCTCTGAGCTTTCAGGCTAGCTCAGGACACAGGCTCAGATCACAAAATTGCTGCCACTTAAGCACTTAATTATACCTAAGGAGACAAGGATCCACATTGTACCCTTTACAATAGAGCCACAAGAAAAAACAAAGTCCCAGTGCCTTGCTAGCCAAAGGGATCTTTGCCAGCACCAAGTGGTGGGAAGCATGAAGAAGAGAGTGGGGTGACTCCTGGCACTGCCTGTGCAGCCACGGTGACAAGTTTTTTAAAAATGCTTCTTTTGAGAGAAAGGCCAGTAGTGTTTGGTGTCAAGGGGCTGAAAAGGGTGCCATATGGGGCTGAAAAGCCTCCTGATGTCATTCCTGATGAACCATTTTCAATGCTCCCCTCCTACTTGGATGATTGTACTTACCTGGCTGCTGTGCTCTTGCATCCAGGTTTTGCCAAGTGGTTATCTTCCTCCTTGCACCTGTTTATTCTGTATCTGCCTCTCTGGAAGGCAAAGTCTGGAAGGGTGCAACCAGTTATCAATGATTCTATTGGGATTTGTCTGTCTGGTTGAGCTAATTTCTCCTGGAGTTCTACCAGTGGTCTAATTTAATTACCTTGTTTCAAATCCAGTTTTAGTGGGAAATGCAGAGGAATACAAATCCATGAAATTCATCTATTTCCATAAACATATACTGTGTACTATGTACTGTCTGTACCCAGCTTCTCTTTTCTAGTAATGATGGACAGTCTCTAAGTCATTGGGCAGGGGCAACTAGTTTAATGGCAAATGTAGGTCTTGGAGAATTTCTGAGCTTTGTAGCTTCATATAAGTTACAATACTGCTTGCTTTCCTTGGAATACAAACACCCTCGTGCTGTAATTTCATCTTAAATACTTTTTGTTCTCTTGCTTGAAGGAAACCTGCCTTTGTTTAAGTTTATTTGGAGGATCCAAGTATGTTATATAAATTATTTTTGTGCTAGATAGATGTAGCTGAAATGAATTGCTAGAATGTTTAGAGTGGATGAAAATCTGTATTCTGTATAGCCACTGACTGGTGTAGAAGGTTGAGGCATTGTGATTTGCTCTCCTGTGTCTCTGGTTTGAATTTATAGGAGAATAATAGCACCACACTTGATGGCATAGTATAGTGGGACGCTGAAGTCACACTGCAAGGTGTTTAAGGCAGTAGTAGAAAAATATCATTTTAAAATAGAAAGGTGGATAGTTAGTGCTTAGGGCTTTCCCTAGGACTGATTTTGTTGTAGGTTATTTGACAAAATCTCATCTTTTTAACTACTGAACAAAACATTATATGAAACAAGTATTTGTCTTCAGGAAAATGTATCTATCATGTGTTTGAAGAGAGGTTTACTTTGTATTCTACAGAAGCTGGACATGCAAATAGAGTATTTGCTTATAAATTCTTGTGGTCATTGAAGAGATTTTACCTAATTCTTTTCTTTTAAATGAAAAAACTATGACAAAGACAAAGATTTTAAGCTGACGATTGGGATCCAAAGGACAGATAATGCAGACTCCAACTGTGTTTGTAATAGTTCAATTCTGTACATGAAATATGTTCTCTATCTCGAAAAAGGAAGAGAATACGAAAGATGTTGTGTCAGTGATTCTTTAGATTTTCATTCTGTTGATCAGAGTTGAAGAAAATGTATTTCTATACACCTACCTCCTTTTTTCAAATTTCCAGTCTCAGTTCTTTGTGTGCTCCATGGAGAGGCCGTATACAATTATGCCTTGCTAGTAAAACAAGATAAAATAATATAATCCCATTGCATTGTCACAGAGATAAAGCATATGGTAACTTTTTGTTTTAGTTGATCAGCAGGGTGGCCTAGTAAAATAAATTCCCATCTCCTGGCTTTGGCTTATCTTCTGATTCCTGAGAGACACAACAAAGAAAAGTAACAATAATAATAGAAGTTGTATTTTTGCTTTTGTTTGATGTGAATATTGCAATAGTGGAGTCTCATGACAGAAAGAACAAATAATTGTGTGTACTACCTGAACATCAGTGGCATCACATGCTGCAGTGTGACTCTGTTGAAATGCTGGACTTGTGAAAAAATAATTACACAGTTATAATAACAGTAATAAAACCACATTGAGTATGCTATCACCTCTAGCCTGGTTATAATTGGTACCACACCTAGAGGTCCTAAATTAGGTCTGCTCAAGTACTAAACATAAATAGCATAAGTTTCTTCCCTGAACAACTCACATTTTTAGTGTTTTCATTTCTGGAATTTGCCACTCCTGTCAATTATTGCAAACATTTCCCTGAAAGAGACAAAGTCTCTGAATCTCATCTGCAAAGTTTTCTTTATGTATCCAAGAAGAGCAGTCAAGTCATCAAACTATTATTTTCTCAGAAATAAAAAATAGGCAACTTATGCACTTTGTATGTTTGATTTGTTGAGAGTGGTTGTCCTGTCTTGGTTTGACAACCTGAAAGGAAACACACAGCACCTCCTGCATCTTGCTTTGCATGAAAACACTGCTGAGCTTCCAGACAGGGTTTTACTTGAGGCCATACTGGTTAATTTTGTTAAAAGAGTCTCAGCACATAACTCATATTAGAGAATTAAGAGAGGTTGTTTCTCTATAGGCTCTTTTTCCCTGTGTTACGCTGTGAAAGTGAATTTCACAGGTACTAAATGTATTCGCCCACCTCTTTTTTGCACCCCAGAGAAAGACTACTGCACAAATCACTGTACAAAACCCCTCTGAGCCACGTTCAGGAGGCCTGTGCTTGGACTAGGGCTCTGCATCTTTATTAGCAATTCTTGTTAAACACTTTAAATTTTGTGGTGGATGTCACAAGGCAGGATCATTTAGAGAACTTGCATAGTGCAGCATAGTGGTGTCCTTCAAAGCCTTCCCAGCCTCTTCCCCTCCTCCCAGCCTTCGGTAAGCACCACAGAGGGGCTGCCTCTAGAACGGGCTTTAAAGATCAGCCTCACTGCCGTTCTTTAGCGGGGGGGGTCCTTGTGCCCCCTTCTGAGGCCACTGAGAAGCAGCAAAAGCTATATTCCTGAGCCTGTAATAGATGCAAATTGTGCAGATGAAGGAGACGAAGCTCTAACAGCCGTTGAATGCAATCTGTGAACACTACTGTTTCATTTATAGTGATGCTACCTAGGCATTTGCACTTAAAAGGAACAGTAAAGAGGTGTCAGAACAATCGCAAGGCTGCAGAATTGAAACTGCGGCAAAGAGGTTTTGAGCCATGTGAAGTGTCGCCTGCAAAAGATCTCCTTTTTCCGTTAGTTTTTGTTATTCCTGAAGGCTGCTCTAGTTCTCCTTGTTTTATGACACCGACTGGTTCATTTGCCTTCAAAGACTCAAGATGCAAAGAGGCAGGGAAACAAATTAAGTCAAAACTGCAATAGCTGGTGAAAACTGCATGAAGAATGTCATGGCTGCTCTTTATTTGTCTATTTAGGTTTGAAGTAGCTTTGCTGTACAACTGGATGGCTGATTCACTAACTTGCCAGCTGCCTCTAGCAGGCAGCAGTAGAGTTGCTGTAATGTTTCAGTGTTATTCTTGCTTGCAGGACAAAGGGCTGATCCTCAATTGATGCAACCTTTGGAGGCATGCATATTACCCTGGTGAGGATCTGAACTGCTGATGCCTTTTAGTCTTTTTATTTGAAATAGAGGAGAGGTTTTGAAATAGAGAAGGTGAGAAATTGCACACTAAAAAGTTAAATAAAAATCTAGTGGCTGTCAAACAACAGAGAGTTACTGATTAACAAAGAATAACGGGCTTGCATATAGTGTCCTGTTAAAAGCACAATAAGCTGTGATTGTGTGCTAGATTATGATTATCTGCAAGCACTTGCTGCTTACTGCCTGCAAATGTGAAAGCTATGTGTGCCTAGGAAAAACAAGGAAACAGAGGATTTGTTGTACTGCACTAGGTGTGTTCAAAGTGCCCTAATCCTACTGAATAAGAGCAAATACTGCTTGAAAAGGAATGTGGAGTTTTAAAAAGGAATATATGTGGTTTGTTAAAAAAAAAATTGAGTAAAGCTGTATAAATTTTAGGGTATGATTGGCTTTGTAGCTACAGCAGATTAAGATGCACTAGAGGACCTGTTGTCATTCTGGATCTTCTAGACTTCTTATGGGATACTATTATCTGATTTTTATTAATATCAGTCATTTGAATTCCAGTAGTGTTCAGAGACCCTGATTTAGACTCAGTCATAGTAATGAAGCTGTATCACAAAGAACTCACAGTTTAAATAGACAGGATAGACAATTGGCAGGCAAGTGTCCCACAACTAAAGAAGATCAAATTACCTAAGACCTTGTCATATGTTAATGTTAGTTCATTTTGTTTTTTACATACCTCAGTAAAATGAGTAATCCATAAAATAAGAGCATGCTGTTCTCATATTTTGGAAAAGTTTGAGGAAAACTAATGATAGCAAAATGCTCTCAAAACCTTTTATTTGATATATTATAAGTTTAAAGTGATGATGTTTTTCATACAATATGAATTTGAGCTGTGTGAGTCTCTTGCATCTTTAGCTTTTAGTCAGGAATGTATTTCCCAGGGAAATGCAGGAGGGGCAGCAGGACTGTTTGTTTTAATAGTTCTGTGTGTGGGTCTGAACATGTGAGTGAGCAGGAGATCAGCAGGGCAAAACGTGCCCTAAATGCTGTAAAGTCTTATACAATTGTGTCAGGCAGTAAACCCAAATGAACTTGCAAAGTCATGCACTAGTTCAATTTTGGAAAGGAAAACCTGGCTTTGAAGCCAACCAAATCAATCCCTAGTTCAAA